AGACAGAGTTTCTCTGTGTAGCTTTGCACCTTTCCTGGAACTCACTCTGTAGCCAAGGCTGGCCTCAAACTCACAGAGATCCGCCTGCATCTGCCTCCCGAGTGGTGGGATTAAAGGCGTGCGCCACCACCTCCCAGCTCTTTCTTTTCTTTTCAAAATAAATTTATTTATCTATTTATTTTACATTCCAGCCGCAGTTATGTCTCATTTTTTTAAAGGCAGCTATAATAATATAAGAGCATAATCATTATTAGCTAATAATGGTGTTGAGACAAGATGAACAGTACATATCCCACACTGTCCAAAGCTCCTCCATCTTCTCTTCCGAGCATCTCAACATGGAGGAAACCATGGTGAAGAGATGAGAGGTGACCCTGCCCACATCCCACAGCTCATCAGTAGCAGGGCAGGTCCAAATCTAAGCGTTTTGGGAGGCAGGGCAACTCAAGACTCTCCTATATTCCCACAGCTTTCTATAATGTACGGGGCACTTCCACACTTGGTATCCTCCTAAAAATCACCTGGTACACATAGGCATTAACAACCTCAGTTTACAGGTGAGGAAATCCAAGACAATGCAGTGGGGTAGACACAGGCCAGCTGCAGAGAGAGGTCTCAAACCCATCTCCTGTTCTGGGGCTGTCTGGAGCTCAGCGCCAGGGCCATTCACGGGCTGTGCCATGTGTTTGTCACTGCGTGTTCAGGTCAGTCAGATCAAATTTTGCTTTTTTTTTTCTTTTTAAATAAAATGTCAGGAAATTTCTCTCCTTTTGCTCTGGACAGATATATCTATTCTTTTTTGTGTTCCTAGGGTAGGAGTTGGCCACTGGGTCAAGACTCCCTGTGGCATTGAAGACTGCCACAGGTATCCCTGTGCTTGTAAATAAAGTTGTTTTTTTTTTTTTAAAGTTTTATTTATTATGTATACAGCATGTATGACTGCAGGCCAGAACCAGATGGTTGTGAGCCACCATGTGGTTGCTGGGAATTGAACTCAGGACCTCTGGAAGAGCAGTCAGTGCTCTTAACCTCTGAGCCATCTCTCCAGCCCTTGTAAATAAAGTTTTATTGGCATTACAGCCAGACTCATTTGTTCATATAACATCTGGCACTAAGTGTGACTGAAGTTCAGCAGGCTGGCCCTCAGAACTTGAGATAGTTACTCTCTGATGGCCTTGTCTGGAGCCCACAATGGTGCTCCTTGGTTAAATAATGAATTCTAGGTAAACATTGAAGAAAATAAAGAATACAGTTAGTGATGTGCAGAAACAGTGTTCTGTTGATTTTCTAGTTCTCTGATGAGGTGACTGAAAAACGATGCAAACGAAATAGAGGAAAGACTTTGAAGCACCCCAGGTCAAGGCCTGCTGTCCTGATGGGGTGGTGACAGGTCACACTCAGGTGACAGGGTGGTGCTCTTGCCTTCTGGGGGGTGTAGCTGTCTCATGGTAAGTGGAGTTTGAGCAGGAGCCGCACTCCTGCTGGAGTTGGTCTGCAGATGACACTCGAGGCTTCCATGGTGTGCCACGCACCTCCAGTGTGGGGGAGGGCCAGGGGCATTCGAGTTGACCCCTCATCTGCATGCCACACCAATTGGCATTCATTGTCATGTGCATCCGGTGTATCCTCTGAGCACCTGGTGGGCTGCAGTCAAGGGCATTGTGATTTTAGAAGGACCGCCATGGTCATGTGACTGGCCTCCTGTGGTCGGGTCAGTCACAGCCACCACCTGGCTGGCAGTGTTCCAGAGAGGGTAGGTGTCACTCTGGGTTAAGGACTCCTGTCTCAGTATAGCTGTGCCCCTCCTCCACTCACTGTCAGTGGGAACCGGCCAGTCAGCTAGCTTGGTGCTGGAGCTCTGAGTGTCAGGTCAGAGAATTCCTTCTTCTTCTCTAAGGGTTGGCTGTGGCCTCTCTGATTGATCAGTTGACTGTTTCTCATCGTCCTGGCAGTCACTTGGATATTCTCAGAGGTAGGGCTCTCACTACCTCCCAGAGAATGTTGTCCCCTAAGCATGCCAGCCATCATCAACTTTCTCAAAGCAGCAGTGAACAGTCCAGAACGACTCAAGATCAGTCCTGCTCACAGTCCCTCGTAGGAGGAAGTACAGAAGGTCATTAGGTCCTCACCTGAGATTCTAGCCAATCCCTTCTGAATCCCCTCCCAAATGTGTGCAATCTCACCCCATCTGCGTGTGTTCTCGGGAGATACTGACTTATCTAGAGAGTAGAAGGGGGTGACTCTACCTATATAGATGTGTTAGTTAATTTTCTGTTGTTGCCATAAAACACTGTGACCACAGCCACTTATAAAAGAAAGCATTCCATCGGGTTTGTGGTTTCAGAGGGTTAAAGTTATAACAACAGAGCAAAGGCATGCTAGCAGGAAGAGCTGAGAGCTCACATCTTGATCCACTCAATATCAGAGAGAGCATTGGGGATGACGGCAGACTTTTTTTTTTTTTTTTTTTTTTTGAGACAGGGTTTCTCTGTGTAGCTTTGCGCCTTTCCTGGAACTCACTTTGGAGACCAGGCTGGCCTCGAACTCACAGAGATCCACCTGGCTCTGCCTCCCAAGTGCTGGGATTAAAGGCGTGCGCCACCACCGCCCGGCAGACGGCAGACTTTTGAAGCCTCAAAGTCCACCCCCTAGTGATTCATCTTCTCCAACAAAGCCACACCTCTTTTTTTTTTTTTTAAATTTGCATTGGCATTTTGCCTGCATGTATGTCTATGTGAGGGTGTCAGATCTTGGAGTTATAGACAGTTGTGAGCTGCCACATAGGTGCTGGGAATTGAACCATGGTCCTCTGGAAGAACAGTCAGTGCTCTTAACTGCTGAACCATCTCTCCAGCCCAAGGCCACACCTCCTAATCCTTCCAAAAACAGTTCTACCCACTAGGGACCAAGTATTCAAACCTATACACCTAACTGGGGCGGGGGGTATTCTCATTCAAACCACCATAATAGCTATGGGGAAATTGTCATCTATGATGGGGTGAGACTCTTCAGTGATGTGGCTGCTTAGGATGTAGGTCACCCATATTCCTGTAACTCCTCACCCCTGTTTTTTTAAATGAGCATAACCAAATCATTGCTTCATCAAACTAGTCTTGGGAGGAGTGATTCTTTGGTCTGTCAGTGCTAGCTGGGATGAGTTTGTGTCTTCCCAGGATAAGTTCACATTGTACCGCCACATTGTAGTGTTGGGAGGATCCTATGAGAAAATATACAAGCAGTGACTCAGATAAAGTGTGTGTGCAAAGGCCTAGTGGCGATTTTGCCGTAAATTTCCAAGGAGGTGAGATCTAGAATGTTGGATCCTGAGAAAGCAGGGGTGTGGCCCAGGTCATTTATTTATCATTTGTTGGCCGATCTGTTATTTTAGACATGAACTCACAAGGACAGGCTTCAGAGCTTAGAGTTCTTCGGTAGTTCTCAGAAGTGTGTCTTCCAGATGGACCTTGTAAGCTCATTCTGAACCAAGGGAGGAATTACATTATTTTATTGTATTATTATTAATTAGTTGTTTATAAATTAATTATATAACAATATTTTATTAACTGTAATTATAAACAGTGCTGACCCAGTGGTTGTGCACTAGCTGGTACATGAACCTCTGGGAATTTTCCCATCTCTACCTCCTGGAGCAGAGCAGTGGGGTGACAGGTACAAGCTACTGCCCCTGTCTTTATGTGGGTTGTGGGGATTTGAACTCAGGGCCTCATGTTTCCATACTTTATCCACTGAACCTTATACATGAAACCATATGTTATTCCCTCGTGACTGCCAATTTCACTTAGCATAACATTTTCCAGGTTTAACTACATGTGATGCATGACAAGATCCCCTTTAGCTTAAAGGCTGATACATACACCTGCTGCATGGATGTGCCATACTATCTTAATCTAAGTGGTCTCAGATGTAGAAAATGTTTCCATGTCTTGGGAAGATCTTTATTTATTTAATTTTTTTGAGACTGGGTTTCTCTGTGTAGTTTTGGTACCTGTCCTGGATCTCACTTTGTAGCCCAGGTTGGCTTCGAACTCACAGAGATCCACCTGACTCTCCCTCCCGAGTGCTGGGATTAAAGGTGTGCACCACCACGCCAGGCTTGAGATGATCATTTTAATGGACATGGATTTAGTTGAAAGTTTATTCCTTCAACACTTTCAATACGTCTGTCTGCTGCGTGTAGGCCACCATGGTTCCTGATAAGAAGGTGGCCACTGATCGATCATATTGTTTATCCTGAGGATAAGTCATTTTTCTCTTCTTTCAATGTTGTCGATTATCATCCTGGCTATGATGAGCCCAAGGTGGATCTCTGTATGTTTTCCCTTGTGGCTCATTAGTGCTTCAGCATATGTGACATTTGAGTCAAGTTGGAGACTGTGGGCCATTGTCACCATCATTCTTCCCTCCTCTCTGTCTCTGTCATCCACATGTTGACATGCTCAGTGTCGTCCCACATGTCTTCCAACCTCTCTTCATTTCTCTTCATCCTAGCATTTTCCCATTTTCTTAAGAATGGATTGCTATTTGTCTTTGTTTTATGAGTTAACTTTTTGTTCAGCATCCATGATGATGGGGTCCATGGTGACATTTTCAGGTACACACATCAGCAGATTATTTCTTCTGCTCCATCCACAGACTTGCTGATTCCCTCTCCAGCCCATTTCAGATCTGGTGCTGGGAAATTTATGGGTTTTTCCCCACCTTGTAATTACTATATTTTGTTCTAGGATTTTCATTCTGTTTTTAAAAAATAATTTGTTTCAATTGGTATTCTCCATTTCTTGAGTCATTGTGGTCATGCTTTCATTTAATGTTTTGAAAGGCAGTCCCTTGTGTTTTAAGAAGGCGTGCTTATCACGGGTGATATTTTTTCTGCCCATCTCAATATCCAGATTCTCCCAGGCCAAGTTTCTGTGGTGATCTTCCACCTGCTTTGCCTTTCTGCTTCTTTGCAGTCTTTAGAACTTCTTGTTGAAAACTGATAATACAGACAGCGTTGTGGCTTAAATCTGAGATGTTTTTTATAGACTCCTGTGTTGGAGCCTTGCTTGGCATCCAATGGGCTTTTGGAAGGCAACTGGATCCTAAGGGCTCTGAGATAATCCGTGGGTGATGGATTCACTGATGGAATCTAGGTGAGGGATTCATAATGTGAATGCATTATTGGGGGAGTAAGAGACAGGCTTAATGTAGGAAGTAGGTCCCTGGGGGTGGGCCCTATCAAGACATGTCTTACCACTGTCTCCTTCTCCCTCCCTCCCTGCTTTTTGTCCACCGTGAGGTGAGCTGCATTGCTCCACCACATACTCTGGGCTGTGATGCCCAGCCTCACCTCAGGCCAACAGCTATGAAGCTGGTTGAGCATGGACCAAGTCTCTGTCACAGTTAGCCACAGTAAGCTTTTTCTCCTTTCAGTATTCTCTCAGATGTCTGTCACACGGACAAAGACTGGCACATATGGCCACTCTGGTTCTGCTTCTCTTCCTACTGAGAGTGGTCGCTGTCACCCTTTGATTTTTGCTGATAACTTGCCTAAACTAAACTTCTGGTCTCCATCGGACAGATGTGTGCAGCTGCAGATGTGTGCCCTCAGTTAAACTGCCCTCATCTGTTTCATTTTGTTTGCTTCCTCCAAGCCTGGTTCCCAGGACATACTGGCATCTGTAGCATCCACTGTCTTCTGACCTATGGCATGGCTGGCTAGAGAAACACATTAAGAGTTCAAGGAATCCCAAATCCTGCCTGGCCTTTTCTTTCACAACTCTTCAGCACACATGCATAGGTCAGAGGCAGCCTGGGGAGTCTGGATACTTGGGAGCATTCAATTCTCTCCTCCCTGTAGCTGAAAGTTTTCCTGGTCCTTCCTAGCTCCTGTGGCCCCGCAGTCCCACCCACAGCCACTCAGACCCAAATAAACACACAGAGGCTTATATTAATTCTGAACTGTATGGCCTAATGGCTCAGGAATCTCGCTAGCTAGATCTTATATCTTAAATTAACCCATTCCTATAAATCTATACTTTGCCATGTGGCTTGTGGCTTGTGGTTTACCGGTACTTTCACATCTTGCTTGGTGGTAACTAGCAGTGTCTCCCTGCTCTCTGTCTTTCTCCTTCCTCTCTCTAGTTGGAATGTCCCGCCTAACTTTATTCTGCCTCACCATTGGCCAAACAGCTTTATTTATCAACCAACCAGAGCATCACATTCACAGCATACAGAATGACATCACCCATCACCTCCCAGAGGTCTAGTGAGCTTACCAAGACCCCCGGTGGTTGTCACACATCCCATATCTCTATGCCAAATTCCTAGCTAGTCTGCTGGTCTGTTCTGCCCCCACCAGAACCATAGTCCACTCTAGCTGACTCCACAGCCTTCCTTTGCCTGCAAGTTTATGACTATGACCAACAAGGGTGCCAGGCATGGGGTATCTATGCTCCTTCCTCAAACATGTCAACACCTCTGGCACCAAAGCTGCTGGTGTGAGGAGTTCACAGTGTGAGGAGTTCACAGTATGAGGGGTTCAGTGTGAGGGGTTCAGTGTGAGGGGTTCATAGTGTGAGAGGTTTACAGTGTGAAGGGTTCATTGTGTGAGTGATTCATAGTGTGAGCGATAGTATGAGGGATTCTGTGTGAGGGGTTCATAGTGTGAGGGATTCAGTGTGAGGAATTCAGTGTGAGAGGTTCATAGTGTGAAGGGTTCATTGTGTGAGTGATTCATATGTGAGGGATTCATAGTG